TAATTGTAAGAACCTAAGCTACAAAATGTCATTTTTTATTTATTTTTTTTATTACGAAAAAACTGCTGTATATTTTAAAATAAAATTTTTTTCCGATTATGGAATGTGCGCATGTAGATTGTGTCACCATTGAATTTTACTCACTGGTTAATACTCATGAGGTTTTGTTATATACAACTTATTTTACATAGTAATTTTACCTTGTCAGGAGATATCTTTTTTACTTTTTTTTTTATTACACCTTTAAAAAAAAATCATGCAATTAAACATATAATAAAGAAAGAAGGGCAGTTAATTACCAATGCATCACAATAACGTTAATACTCATGAGGTTTTGTTATAAATGTATTTTCCTTTAAAATTGTAAATTATTTTAATAGTTGTATTAATAATTATATAGGAAAAAAAATTTTTTTAATAAATATGATTTTACCAATCTTTTATTTCATTTTTTAAGTTTAAAAATAATCTATTTACATGTTCTTCGTCTATATTAATTGAATCATCATCATTATTATCATCATCATTTCCATTATCATCATTATCTTCCGGCTCAATTGTAGAAAATTTTTCTAATTGTGATACAAAAGCATCAACATTTTTAAAGATGCCTTTTTTGTAAAATTCCATACAATGTATATAACTTTTTCCAAGATCTTCGTAGCATTCATAATGATAACTATGGCCACAAATCAATACATACCCATCAGTATATGGAAAGTTTGGATCAAATGCTTTGTCACAATTATCACACAAATCCTTTTTTGGTGGATATTCTGTGTGATAACCAGCAGGTAATGATTTTAAATCTACTTTTATGTTTAGGGTGCTTAATGTATAATTTGTTAATTTTTTTCCCTTATAATATGGCTTACTGGTATTTAAATTTTTATAAATATTGAAAAAATACTCTATTAAAAAGCAGCTTGTTTTTTTAGTTAGATAATCCAAATGTGCTGGTGTGTATGGATATCTTTTATTTTTGGAAAAGGCGTCAACAAATGGTGATTTTTTACAAGAATCAATAATAAATGTTTCTTGTACTATTGATTCAGGAGAGGAAAATTTATTTGTATGTGCTTTATTTTGCTATGTATGTTTTCAACAAAATAATCATTAAAATTTACTAATGATTTTTCTAAAAATTTTGCAAATGGATGATTATTTTGCTTCCAATAAAAATAATCAGATAAAAAAGCAAGAGGAATTTTGTTGTAGTTTTTTCTTCCCCATCTTAAAAAAAATGTCCAGATGCGAAAAATTGTTTCAAGGTATTGTTCGAAAGCTCCAGATCGAAAAAGAATTGTGTATATATCCAAGGTAGCTGGTATAATATTATCTAATAGATCAATCACCATTCTATATTCCACATCTTTTGTTTTATTAAATTTTTCTAATATATCTTTTGAAATTTCCATCCATCCATCATGAGCCAACTGGAGAAGAAGGTTAATGCGCCATGGTTTAGGCTTTTGGGGGAATTTTTTCTTCTCAAATACTGTACAGAATAGTTTCTTAAAGAAATCATAATGTATCTTTACAACACATTCCCTTGAATTCAAAGAAACATGCAATGGACCCAATATTGGAACAACATTTTCAATCCCATCAATATTACTTAATAAATGTTTTGAATGTAGTGTAATAGCTTTTCTAAGAAAGAGTTGTCCTGGGTAGTCAGCAATTACAGGTATAACATTTTTTTTAATATATTCTGATAAACTATTTATACTTGTTATCAATTTTAATGCTGACAAATAATCTTCCAATGAGTGAAGACTCTGTTGTTTTATATTTATTATCTTTACTGACTCCATTGACCTTTCTTCTTTTTTTTCTTCAATATCTGCATTATATATATGAATAGTTAAAACTTCAACACGATCAAAATTTCTACTATCAATAATCTATCTTTAACCCATTGTATTTTTATATTATTATAACTTATATCAAAGATTCCTTTATAATCATTAATAAGTTTTGAGTTTATTAATGAATAGTCAATATTATTTGGATTGAAAATAGGCACATTATTAAAATTAGCAGGAACTGCCCAAACATTGTCAATTCTTTTTGCAACACATGTTGCCATATGTACTGCAGAAGATAGTGTTGTGGAATCAGGTCTTCTCCATTCATGGATGGAATGAAAATCATCAATATTAAAACAATGCATATATGGAAGATAATTGGTAAAATATGTTTCAACTTTTTTTTGATGATTTTTTGCAATGGTTTTTTTATAATTCTGAATAGTTTTGTAACAAGCAGAAAGGTTAGCATTTGATAATGTATCAAGTGCAGCAGCATTGGTTCCATTTTCTTCTAAATAAAGCCCAAGGTCTAATTTAAAATTATTCACAAATTTGTTTCTTATTCCAGCTAAAAGATAACAAAAACCTACAATAGATTTTTTGGCTGATTCTTTATTCAGATATGTTCTTTCTTCAGGGATTATTTTTGTTAGTTCATTAAAAAATCCTTTCAACTTTGGTTCTTTATCTTCAATTAATTTACAAAAATTTATAGGATCTAATTCAATATCTTCATTTGATTTACGTTGTTGTTGGAAAAGTATATTGGTCAATCATTCAATTTTATCTGCAAAAGTTAAGGAGCCTATAATAAAAAAATCAATTAATAAATAATTAATCAGTTAATAAATAATTAATCAATTAATAAAAATAATCATTTTAATACTTTTTTCCAAGTTGTTCTGAATTGTTAAAAAAATATTATTTATGTTAAATATATTTTCAATTTCTTTATTTTTTTCAACCTTTGCTTCCAAATTTTCAATTTTTTGAACCAGTAAGCTAAAATCTTCTTCAGATAAAAGAATTCCATTTTCTGTAATATTAATTTTAATGTCATTCAAAGAATATTCACCAGATAATTCATTTTTATTCACTTCTTTATATTTATGTTCTACATATTTCATATAATGTGTAAAACAAAGTTGTTGATTTTTTTTTAAGTAATTTATACTTAAATAATCTGGATGCTTCATTAACTTATCGAATGCTTTATCAGTTATACTTCTAAAAGTAACATACTCGGGACTTTTTTCATTTTCTTTACAATTTTCAACTGCACAAGGACCAGTATATTTATTTTTACGCATCATTTTTATTAAATAATCAAAGTTTAGTTAAAATAGAGAATAATATAAGTAGTAGTATAATGAATAATAGTGAATAGTAAGTATAATGAATAATAGTGAATAGTAAGTATAATAATAATGGTTTTGATTTTATTTAACTAGCCAGGAAAAGAGTTTTTAATATTAAGAATAAAAAGAAATTTGATTATATTTTTTATATTTTTTTTAATTTTACATAAATTTTTACAGAATTCCTTCTTTTTTATACCTATATCGAAGCCAACAACAGTTAACAGTTAAAGGTTGTGTCTAAAAATAAATTCGAAAAATCCGAAACATGCGAAAATTTATTATTTATTTAGGGATCGGCCGAACTTTATATAAAAGTTTCCATTTTTGTATATTCAATTTTGTCACATTACACGACCAATTAAATCGAACTTCCACCATGCTAAAAAAACCCAGTACAGAATTAAACATATGTACTATATTTTCTCAAATTGTTACATTGGTTGTAGATTATATGGTACAGGAATGCAAGGGGTACAGTACAGGATCACTACTGATCATAAAATCACTACCCTAACTAGTGTAAATCAAAAGTCAATAGTCAAAAAATCAAAACTAGTTTCAACTTATGATGAAACCTTTTGGAAACCAACTATAGATGCTGGTCGCAATTCTTGGTGATGGTTGCAACCATATTTGTGTCATATAAGAATGGTTTGTGACACCACTTTGCGACCACTTTGGTTTCCTTTTTTGGATTGCGACATGGAACACTAAAACCAACACTAACCCCAACTCAAGTAAGTGCATGTATGGTGATCAGTTGCCTTTTTTAGGTATTAAAAAAATATAATTGAAATAATATTTCTGCTGGTAAACTAAACATTTGAAGTAATAATTTCCTAATTTCCTTTATAATATATTATGTTCTCTCAAATTTCTGGATATGATTTGCATTGCCCATCCTTTGACCAAACAAACCACCTACTTGCATTTTTGTTGTTCTGAATGTAATAAATACCTTCCAACTTTTACTTATTTGAAAACAATGCATCCTGCCAAAGGAAAATCTAAACAACCAAACTCAAGGACTCTTGATGATTTCTCTCTTCTTCCATAATAGCAAGAGCAACCTCTTTTTGACAAAATGTGTTTAAGTGAATGTAGGATGATTGATTATAGCATTTATGTATATGAGAATTTTATAGATTGCTGATCTGCAAATGAATCAGTGAGACCCCCAAGTCTGCATTTCGTACATAGAAAAGTATCCAAACATTACACAAACTATGTTAATTTCTTAGATCAAATTATTTTTTATTCATATATAAAAGTAATA